GTACAGTCGGTCTGTAACCTGAGGAATAACCAATTATGCAGCTTGTAAGATCAAGAATCCCTTTTTTTTTTAGATATCACAATTGCTATGCCTTTTGACTAATAACTATATTTCCTTCTCAGACTTGGAAGTCAATCGCTACTGTGCCTACCTCACAGGAGTTCCTGGACATTGTCTTGTCTAGGACCCAGAGGAGGTTGCCTACTCAAATTCGCGCTGGCTTTGCCATCAGTCGTATCAGAGGTGAGTTTTATCTTCGCGCCTCTCAATACTATCGCTTTGCTAAGTGGTGGAACAATAGCCTTCTACCTTCGTAAGGTTAAGTTCACCGAGCAAACTTTTTCTGAGAAGCTTGGTGCCATCCTGGAGTCCTTCCCTAGGCTCCAGGATATTCACCCGTTCCACAGCGCTCTCATGAATACACTTTATGATGCAGACCACTTCCGCATCGCTCTTGGTCAGCTTTCGACCGCCAAACACTTGATTGAGCAGGTCGCTCGTGATTACGTCCGTTTAATCAAGTATGCTCAGTCACTCTTTCAGTGCAAGCAGCTAAAGCGTGCCGCACTCGGTCGTATGGCCACCATTACCCGCCGTCTCAAGGGATCCCTTGAATACCTCGAGCAGGTCCGACAGCATCTTGGTCGTCTTCCGTCCATTGATCCTAACACTCGAACTTTGCTCATTTGCGGATATCCCAATGTTGGAAAATCTTCATTTTTGAAGTCAGTCACCAGGGCCGATGTTGATGTCCAGCCCTACGCATTCACCACTAAATCTCTTTACGTTGGTCACTTTGACTACAAGTACCTTCGTTTCCAGGCAATTGACACCCCCGGTATTCTCGACCACCCACTTGAGGAGATGAACACCATTGAGATGCAGTCCATCACTGCCATCGCGCATCTGCGGTCCGCTGTTCTCTACTTTGTAGATCTGTCCGAGCAGTGTGGATACACTGTCGAAGCTCAAGTGCAGCTCTTCCACTCAATTAAGCCTCTTTTCGCCAACAAGATCGTTTTCCTTGTCGTCAATAAGATCGATGTTACTCGCCCTGAAGATCTCGAACCCAGCCGACAGGCTCTCCTTGAGACAATAACCAAATCTGGAGAGGTTGAAATGCTCAAGCTCTCTTGCCACACCGAAGAGGGCGTCATGGAAGTCCGTAACCAGGCTTGCGAGCGACTTCTTGCCGTGCGTGTTGAGCAGAAGCTCAAGAACGCTGCTAGTGGCGCTGCAGGAAAGGAGGTTACTGATATCCTCAACCGTATCCACGTTTCACGCCCTATTGGAGGTGTATTGAGGGAGGCGTTCATTCCCGATGCAGTTCTTTCTAAGAAGAAGTACGATAAAGATGATCCAAACCGACCTAAGCTCGAGCGCGATATCGAAGCCGAAGAAGGTGGTGCTGGTGTCTATAATGTCAACCTCAAGAAGAATTACATCCTCGAGAATCCTGACTGGAAGTTTGACAAAATTCCTGAAATCTACGATGGACGCAACGTTTACGACTTTATCGATCCCGATATTGAGACAAAGCTTGCCGAGCTTGAGGCCGAAGAGGAACGCCTACAAGAATCTGGGTTCTATGATGAGGATGAGGATATCGAAGATGAGGAGGATGCTGAGATTCGTACCAAGGCCGACTACATCCGTGAACAGCGTACGCTTATTCGTAACGCCGCTCGCTCCAAGAAGTCGCTCAAGAATCGCGCCATTATTCCTCGTACCAAGGGACAAGGAAAGAAGCTTTCCGAGATGGAGGAGCACATCGGTGGAAAGCTTGGTTTCGACACAAGTGGAATTGCTGCTCGCGCTCGATCAAAATCACGTGGTCGCCGTGGTGACGATATGGAGATTGACGATGGCCCGCAAGCAACCAAGGCCAGAAATATCGAGAGGGCGAAGTCTAGGGCTAGAAGCACAAACAGGAGAGAGGATGGTGTTACAAATGAGGGTGCTAGGAGTACGGCCGAGAAGTTGATGAAGCTGAACCAGAAGAAAATGAACAGAATGGCAAGGCAGGGTGAGTCTGATAGACATACTACTGCGAGTATGCCCAAATGGTTGGTTGCTGGAAAGAGAGGGATGGGAAAGACAGATCGGAGATAATTGGATTGTGGAGGTGCGGATTGGTCAGTCTGTCGAATTACATACAAAATGGGGATTTCTCTTTTCTTTTGTCTTTTTTTCTACGGTTGCTTTTTACGATACAAGTTATGATTTTTTTACATTTCTGTTGGGAGGGATGCTTGTATGCTAGGAATTCTTAAAAGTAAATGGGTCTTTAAAATCTATTCCATGGCCCTGAAGTTTTGCCTCATCAATCCGTGTAGTAAAGCTTAAGCTCGGTTAGTGAGATCAGTGGGTGAGCCTTTGAACTTGATGTGAGGTACTTTGTCATATTCCTCCAGTTATTTGATTAATTTACCGAGCTCTCGGAAACGTTAATCGTAAGATGGGTGGCTTAGTTCTTCACTGGGGTATTTAACTGTTGAATTGGCTATTGAAAACTCTTATAGACACTATCTCATATCCAAGCCCCGACAAGTCCAACAAATAATAGTTATAAATCCTTTAATATTTTAATTTTAGATCATCGAGTGATATTTTGTGATAGTGATTTGCGGCTCTGCTTACTCAGCGCACCGAAACTTTTCAGGACCGTTGCTCCAAAACCTCCCCGCTACTCACCCCACACGACGCCCCTCTAAACACGGTAATATCAACACCACCACAACAATATCAGCAGCAGATAAGTTACATCTGTTCTAATATCTAAGCCCATCAGTTTACGCAGTCATGTCGCTGCAAATCCCATCTGCTCCTGGTAGCGGGCTATTCAAGCCTGGTTATCAATCGTGAGTTCCCCCTGGTTGTTACTGTGGGATTGAACTGACAGAGGTGTCATTTAAAGATACGCGAGCGAAGATGGTGCTGTCATTCGAAACATCGATGCTTGCAGCACTATTGCTTCCACAGTGTTGACCTCCCTAGGACCTTTCGGTCGTAATAAAATTATCATCAACCATCTCCAGAAGATGATCCTCACGTCGGACGCTGCTACCATTTTGCGGGAGTTGGAGGTTGTGCATCCGGCTGCAAAGCTGGTTGTTATGGCGAGTCAACAGCAAGAGGCTGAGGTGAGGATTCATTCCGAGGGATGGTGTCTGCAGTTGGCTAATGGGTTGTTTGGTAGATGGGAGATGCTACCAACTTGGTAATCGTGTTGGCGGGAGAGATGTTGAAAATGGCCGAAGGGTTGATTAGGATCGGCTTACATCCCTCTGAGATTGTCAATGGCTACGAGAAAGCTGGAGAGTTTGCTTTGAAGACTCTTGAAGGTAATAAAATTACCCCTTCAATCGCCACGTTCTTGTTGCGCTAACTTTTTACCTTTGCCCAGAGCTTTCCGTCGACAAGATCACCGATATTCGCTCGCTAGAAGAGCTCAGCAAAGCTATCAAGACCGTCATTTCCTCGAAACAATATGGCAACGAAGATCTCCTTGCGCCTCTCGTTGCTGAAGCTGTGCTTGCAGTCCTCCCCAAGAACCCTGTGAACTTTAATGTCGATAACATCCGCGTTGTTAAGATTATGGGATCTTCTCTCCCACAAAGCCGTGTCGTCAGAGGAATGGTTTTCCCAAGATCACCGGAAGGTACCATTAAGAAAGCTCTTAAGGCGAAGGTCGGTGTCTACTCTTGCCCGATTGATATCTCACAAACGGAGACAAAGGGTACCGTCTTGCTACACAATGCCAAGGAGATGCTTGATTTCACAAAGGGTGAAGAGAACTCTTTAGAAGCTATTATTAAGGAGATCCATGATTCTGGTGTAAGAGTGGTCGTATCTGGATCTACACTTGGCGAGCTGGCGCTGCATTACCTCAACCGCTACAACATTCTTGTTATCAAGATTCTAAGCAAGTATGAACTAAGAAGATTGTGTAGAGTTGTTGGTGCTACCCCCCTGGCAAGGTTGGGCGCGCCAATGCCTGATGAGATGGGAAACGTAGATGTCGTTGAGACTGAGGAAATTGGTGGAGACCGGGTTACTGTATTCAGACAAGGTTGGTCTCACTGTCGTTACCAGATTTGAACAGTTCTGATGATCAAAAGAGGATGAAACTACCAGGACAGCTACTATTGTTATCCGTGGTGCCACTCAGAATCATCTTGATGACGTTGAGCGAGCTGTCGACGACGGCGTAAATGTTGTCAAGGCTATCACCCGAGACCCTCGTCTTGTTCCTGGTGCTGGAGCAACTGAGATGCAGCTGATTGAGCGAATCGTTGCTTATGGCGAGAAAACACCTGGTCTATTGCAGCACGCTATCAAGAAGTATGGTGAGGCATTTGAGGTTATTCCTCGTACGCTTGCGGAAAGCGCTGGGCTCGATGCCACCGAGGTGCTTAGTAGGCTGTATGCTTCCCACCATAAGAAAGATAACTGGAATACCGGTGTAGACATTGAGGTATGAATTCACTTATATTTCCTCGCATATAAACAAGTTATTAATGTTTTCGATTATAGGACGAGAAAGGAACTGGGTTAGTTGATGCCAAAGAGAAGGGTATCTTGGACCTTCTCGTTGCTAAAAGTTGGGCCATCAAATTGGCGACCGAAGCTGCACGTACTGTGCTCTCGGTTGACCAAATCATTGTGGCTAGGCAAGCCGGTGGGCCCAAGCCGCCAGCACCTAACCCAAATTGGGATGAGGATTAGATCTAGGAAAATGGGAAATATTTAAAGGCTTTTCTAGAGCGATTGAAAATGGGATTACGAATTTCAATATCAGTAACAAGCTTGCATAAGTTTGTACAATAGAAAAGGCCTAGCTTTGAGTCAAGATTGACGTCAAGGAACTAACTATATTTTTTAAGAAGCCTGAGGTGATTGAGTAATATTATTTCAATTTAATTTTTACATACGTAAAGCAAAGTATTTACTTCTATATATTCCATAAGCTACTAAGTTCAACATTGCCATTGCTTGACCTACACGGGATTCCATAGGTCGGCATAAGCTCTCTCATGTCTAGCCTGTGCTTCAACCTCGACTTCTTTCTCATTCTCATTCTCATTCATCGATATCCTTGCCAACAGCCTTTTCGCCTTTTCCATCAGCTCCGGAAAACTTCCATCTTCTTCCACGATTGTATCAACCTCCATCTCAGTAGCGTCCCCCATCGTGTCATGCCAATCCCCTTCGCTTCCATTTCTCACTTCGATATGATCGCTCCCCTCCATCTGTGAGTCCTGGTGCTCAAACGTGCCATTTACTCTATTCAGAGACTCGATCTGTGACAACACTGCCGTTCTTCGAGCTTCACCGGAGTTCTGCGACTCCCGCACTTGTTCGATTTCGGCGCCGAGCTCCTTGATACGCGCTAGCGAGCTCTTGGCCTGTGCCATTAGGGCATCGTAGCTCTTCTCTTCGGCGGCGATGTCGGCTGCGAAGGTGCTTGGGGCGGGGTCGTGGTGGGTCTGAGAGTTTGGGGCCATTGAGCTACTGTTGTTGTAGGATGTGGAGTGCGGGAAGACTGGTGAGGAATCCATAGCAGGGAGGAGGGGTTTGGGAGGGGTAGTTTAGTAGTAGGTGGGTGAAAGATAAGCCAGTGAGTCGAAGTAGGAATGTTACGGTCTCTTGGGGTTGTTGACAAAGCTATCTATCTATCCGCCCTTTGGTAGCTTACTAGGTATGTGTCTTGTAGATCATCTGCTTCGCTGGCTGGAATGGGTGGGTATGTGTTCTCCGATTGGAGGATGTCGGTAGCCGTGCAGAAACAAACAACACGGAGCACGAAATCGAAACATGAAAAAGGTAAGAGGTCTCAGCTCCGGTTCTGAATGACACATAGCGCTAGGTTGGGGGGAGGGGTGCGGTTGCTTGTGGTGCGGGCGGTCATTGACCTGCTATGTTAACTATCCGCCGTTTGCTCAACTCGGAGGTTATTGGCGCCAATTGGGTTTTAAACATGCGTGGTTTGAGGGGTTTCGAGTGAGATGTGGTGATTAAATGGTGGTAGGGTGATGCATGATGACTTGGGTCGCTTTTGATCTTTCCTGTGGGAATACGATCGAACAGGACAGGTATTGGAATCTGGGCGCAGAGTTTTGGGCATCGGGTTTGTAGCTCCGGTCATCTTACGGATATCTCTCATCTGGTTTCAGTTCTGTCTCCGGTGTCTTACCAGACACCACGCCTGGCTGACTGTGTTCTCTCTGGTACCATCATTATTAAGAATCAAATTAAAAACGACCCCTGGATATTTGGTCTATATTCAGAATACCTTTCTCTATAGCGACATATATCTAACTCGGAATTACTCGATGCTTTTGAATTTCCGCCGTGACATAAGAAAAAATCATGGAATCGTCAACTGTAATTTGCGAGGTATATAGGGCAGCTCAGCCTTAATAGATTCTCAGATTCCAACGAGATAATTATAGGCCGATATGGAGTCATAATATAGGCTGCAACTCACCATACATAAGTACATACTCACCATCGTTAATATGTTTGATACGCCAGTGGTTTACCCCAGTACCAAGCCATGCAATTGAACTCTGTTATTAAGTAGACATCGATGTTCAAGTATTCATGGTCTTTCGACGGTCCTACATATATTAACTTTACTCCCATTTATTATATCACTACTGCACCCATCTGTCTAAATACTCATACACCGTCGGAACCGACAACTAATCCACATTGTCAATGCGTCCCATCAATAACGAAAACCGCCATTGCAGGTAGACGTGTAATTACCAAGCTACTCCATCTCCGCGGAAATCCGGCTAGTTGAAGTTAATAAAAGCACTAATATTACTGATATTGCTAGGGTTAGGGTTTATGTAGTTATGTACTCTACTCGCGCTGCCGGATTGAAGCCGCTCAGATAAAAAAAGGTAATTGAGCTCTTATTGGCTGCCAGATCACTCGCCACAGTTCTTTGAGCGGCTTCAAACCGGCCGCGCGAGTAGGTACATATTAATTGTTAAACCATGTCGCCAGATTTATAATGCCGACCTCTTTGGCACAACCGAATAAATAGTAAGACCGGCGTTAACTATCAGGCCGCATGATAATGTTCCACCACAGCCCGGCCGGACCGGCGCAGGTTAAGCTGCGTGTTATGGATGATTATTTAATGCCGACGTTGCAGTCTACCCCACCCACCTCCATCCAACTTACTCTCAATTGCAACATCACCACTTTCTGTAAGCTAACTCGCAAAAAATGACAATTACACACATCGTTATGCTCAAGTACCCTGAGGGTACCTCCGAGGCTACCATCAAGCAGGTATGTATGTGACGGAAACTGCAGCTGTGTTATCGTGCTAACCAATTGTGGCGTGTATGTAGACTCTCGATGATGCAATCGCCTTGAAATCGACCTGCCTCCATCCTAAGACTGGGAAGCCGTATATACTCTCTGCAAAAGCAGGGCGTGATAATTCGCCCGAGGGCATACAGGTATACTATTTTGCCGGTTTTTTCTTTTTTTTTTTTTGTTTGCGGCTAGCTAGCTTGGGTTGAGCTGATTGGAGCTAGAATGGGTTCACGCATCTCTTTGTGATGGAGTTTGAGAATGCGGAGGACAGGGACTATTATGTGGCGAAAGATCCAGTGCATCAAGGTTATGTGAAGATGTTGGGGGCGCTGCCGATCGGAGCGGTCATGGTGATGGACTTTGAGGGCGGGTGTTATTAGTGAAGTGGTGTTCTGGATAATGTGCTTTTAGTAGTTAGCTTGCTTGAGCTCCGCATTCAATTCAATAGCTATAAATATTGTGATAGTTGGTGCATCCTATTACGAATTGAAGGTAGTCCAGAAGAATGGGTAATGCTAAGCCCATTCAAACTGACTTTAACTCCTCGTTTGATATATATGTAGTTCCTGGCCCACTCGGGAAGCTCGTATATTGAGAGAGCTAATCAGACGGAGTATAAACCCAGGATTGCGAATTGCTCTGGTCGGCCCAGAAACCTACCCATCTGGAATATTGACTGTGCCTTCTTACTGTGAACTTTTTTTTACTATACCGTACTTTGAGACAATTTTTAAATCAAGCCAAAGCATCCCCGGAGACAGGCCGCGCATATAAAGAACGGCGTCCAATTAATTAGTTACGAATCAGTACTAGATGAGTTCCACCATTATACCCTAATGATATGGGAGCTGCTCCTTATGATTGGGCACTTCAACCGCATACCTAGATATCTCACCGAGAATCGAATCGATATTACGGCTGTCAAGGCATTTGCGGACCTGTAAACCTAGTCGAAACTTTCCTGGCTAGGGAGGTAGAACCTCTTTGGAAACCCGATGTATCCTGGCCACACATCCTGACCCCACTACCCGCACTTTTCTGACCGTTGTGGTATGGGGAAATAAGATGTTATAGAAAATATTATAAACCTATGTAGGCGTGTTCCTTGGAATAGTTCCTGGATTGGTAGGGTAGGTTGATTTTGTTGTTCAAGGGATCTACATAGGGGGGGTCCTACGTGTCCAATATAACGTACTAATTTTTTTTTTACTGCCAGCTAGTTCCGGGAGAGCAATTTCCTTGATCTGCTATATCCAATTGCTCGTTAGGGGAATGCTAGTGGGCCGTTCAGGGATGTTTCTGTGTAGACTGGATTTCTAGGCGTCCTGGTGTTTTATATATATCACTGGCCGTAGATATAATAGTTGAAATACTCTTTGTGGACTGTATATCCGGATCGTAATTTATTATCTGTTCCCGGGTTCAAAGGAGACCTTAGCTGGAAAGGGCCAGCGTCTAATTTCTGACCGGATAATCCATAACTTCTGAGAGATCTGGCCGAATTTCTTGTCCCAGCGCCCTAATTAATTAAAGCATCTAGCCTGCCGGATGGGAAAGATCTTGAAATGGACCCGTCGAATGAAGTCCCTGGCACTGGTATACATATTCTGAACCATTGGGAGTCTGGCTCACAGTTCCAGGTACATATTTGAGACGGTTTAGTCCCGAAACAACCGAATGATTACATGACTGAGGTGGATGAGCCGAGACGCCTTGAAGCTATCTCTCTGCTTCATCACATGTATTACCTGAGTGTTAACTAGTACTGATCAATGTTCCTGTTTCTTTCCTAAGCGGTATAGGTCTAGTGTTCCAGTATGCCTTGTTTTGGGGTATAGGGATTTGACTCTAAGACTAGTTGTGTCCTAACAATTTTATACCCGACAACTAGGCTTGCGATGTCTGTACGTTCCAGTCTATCGTTATAACAGGTGCCTCTGGAGCTAGAGCTTAGTTGATTCCTCGGCCATCTATGCCGGCATGATTTCGATTTACGAAGCTCTTGGTACTATTCCAGGCATACTTATGTTCCTAGGCATTTTACCAGGTCTTTTTTTTGCTGTTTTGATGACGAGGAACTTTCATGGTAGTACATCGTAGTGCATCATTCATATGGGCAGATTTAGGCCTATAGTCTTTTCTGGGACAATGGCGAAACTGGGTTAATGACGAATGGCAAACTTTCAGCCAACCATAGAGCTGATAGTCAGCTAAGGCAAATGTGTTGGTGCGCTTTTGTTAGCTTTTGTTGTCCCAGAAAAGACAATAGCCTAAATATGGGTTTTAGAGGTTTTAGAGTTAGATTTTCATCACATTCCAGTGCTTTCTGGATCCAGTGAAATCGTCGGGATAGATCTTCTAGTGCCTTCTTTTTGTTAGTTTATATGTAAAATTTTGACTCGAGCATTGAGCTCAATATCCCAGACATCCAAGTGGGACTGTGGGAGACAGCTGTATGTTTATCCAAGTACCGAAGGAAGATGCAAGAACCAGGCGTAAGCATCTGGGTGTTAATCCTTGCATAGACGCCTTCAAGACAAGTGCCAGTGTGTTCCCGGGCCGCTGGGAGCTTAAAAAGAGATGAAGCTCTTGATAACCCTTGATGAGATATACCCCTAGTTAGCAGTGTTCCAAAACGGCATTTCTTTATTTAAACACCACACCCTATCAACTGCGTTGATGGGAGATGGGTAATCAGTTTCTGTCTTTGAAAATTTTATGTGTTGACGACGTTGGCATTGGTATTGGTGTTGGTGGATGAGTTGGTGGGGTTGGGGATCCCAAGTTCTAACTGTCTCAGCCGGGCCATCCCCCTCAAACTACTTGGGAACCACAGTCCCCAGGCCCAGCTGCACTAGTCTGGGTAATTAAAGCTTTCTAAAACACAACTACACTGGGATGATCATCTGTCATCCGCGATTTCTCTAGTCTTTTATAGGCCACAACAAGAGTTGAAACACATCTATTCATCTTCAAAGGTGATCTTTCACCCTGTCCCGCTGCCCGGCTGGAAACATTTCTGGCTGGGTATGCCTACCGGTGGACAGTGTTGGCAAAGTATATTTGATGCTCCCCTTGTTTTGGATCCGAAAAAAGGCTCCTGACTAGGAGGGGCCTGTTGTTCCTGGACTTTGCACAAAATACTCAAGCAGTGCGCCATTCAACCGCGAGTAGCTTATGGAGAGTCTTTGAACGACTCCACTTCAAAGATGGTAGATCTGGGTATATAAATTTGACTAATAGTACTGGCGGCCATTATACGTGGCGCTCTAGAGGAATGGTGTCGTTACTTGGCTACTCAGTCCCAGCCTCATGCTCATAGACTAGTCATCAGCGGACAGAAAGACACAATCTCCAAAGCAATATCCATGGTGGGCTTTGCTATATAATTACATCATGAGATGAAAGTGTTTGGTTACGTGTGGTGCGAGTCTACTTATGAATATCCTTTGGTCACAAATCGTCCATTACTGTCGGGAACCTGAGGTATTGAATATCACGGACGGTGACCGCACACAACACGAAGCAGGGGCTATATTAGTTTTCGGGGCACACAGGCCAGAATCGACAAACCCCCCAAACCTGTGGCAGGAACCATCGGGGCTGGCGTTAAATCTGCATCACAGAATATCACTCGACCCAGCCCAGACTCCATCGTTGCCAATATCTGTCATTGGAACAAATAAGCGTTGCCTCCTCTCAGAGTCCAACCCCATTAATAAGAAGGCTGACTGCTCTGGCTCAGTAATCAGGCGTGCTCCAAAAACACTTGAAGCCGGACAGAGGGTATACAGTTCCAAGTTATTTTTGGCGGGTTACCGACTGGCCATGATCCTAAAGGGACCAGCCAGGAAGACTATAATGGCCCGCTATATGAAATAGCGAGTATTATATCACACGTTGATTTCCCCACCCGGCAGACCGCTCAGCCCGATCACACTAGCATTCGCGTCCTAGGTTCTCCGCAGATATATATCGATGTGCGGATCGATTAAGCTAAGCCTTCGTTTAAGCACTATACGAGAACAAGGATAGCACGCACTGTACAGATATCTGTAAGCGATACAGACAGCGTGTCTTCGAATCGAATATTAAGCAAGCTGGAGTTCATAAAAAAAAAAAAACACCCCCGGAACGGATGGGCTCCCGGTCCGGGGTTCACGCGGTTGTATCCGACTCCCGGGCGGGCAGGCAGGCGCCGATCTTCCCTAATGGCCATAATGGTAGTCTTTGGCCATCAAGGATCGAAAGAAAAAAGAAAAAACGAAGTCCAGTCGCGATCATAATTGGATGTGTTGGATTGCCTCCGCGGTAGTATGTAACTAGGTAGGTAGCTCGTGTGACCAGGCCGGGGGCCTTAACGTCACGCATTATATCGTGGAATACTGATCTGGAGCGGCGGCCCTATTTGGAAGTTCAAGTTTTTTTCTGCTCAGCTCTGTACTGTAGCTAGGATCAGCTTGAAGTGAAGTCGGCGTCCTAAACTCTGGGTGTGTGTGTATGTAGATAACCGTATGATGACCCCCCACTACAAGGAACTCACCGAATATGTAATAGCTTTCATAAGTATGACAGCTATACAGCTGCGGTGAGGTTACCTCTGACGTATGTCGAAGCTCCCAAGGTCTAAATCCAGGCATTAACGGCGAAGGCCATCCCCAGAAATAGATAGAGCTTGAGCATGCTGCAGCTGGTATGTACAGCTGGGTTTTTGTGCCGACTGCCCGTCGAGGAGGGGCAGCATATGCTCGCAGACCAGCTGAGCTCTCCCGGCATGCACAGAGGGGAGCTCCACTCTGCTTGTTGCTGCGTCTCCAAGACTCGATCTTGACCACCGTATCTAGCTGTCGACGGTTGTAGTAGATACCACACACACCACCCAAGTGACTGCTCCCGCAGCACCTTAGCAGCCGGACGGTATTATAGCATCATTGATAACGCTCGGAGGCGCCGACGTCTGTTATCGGGGCGCTTGGATTTTGAGACCGCATGTTGGTGCCGTGAAAAATAGAGCGGGGATGATAATGCGGAGACCCATGGCGGCGGCGGCGGGGGACAGCGGAGAGCAGCAGCAAAAAGGCAAAGAGGGTGCGGCTGCAGCTGTATGTAGGAGGAGGTCGCGGGAAAAGAGGGGTCGGGGTGGTGGAGGGAGCGAGAAGGGATGGTATGGCCAAAGGTCGATACGTTAGATGGAAGCTAGCGTCGACACCGAACCAAATTGCAAACACCCGCCAAGCTAGCTAGCTAGCCCCATACCCATCCACTCCGACCACCTTGTTCACCGGCCGCCAAGCCCATATAGAAACATACATACATGTAGTTACATGTAGGGATAACAGCCCATTAGAAGCCCTAGCTTATGTTTTTGCAAAGGGGGCTGCGGTGGGGAGTAGTGGGGTAGTGGGGTAATGATCGTTTGGTGGGAAATCGGGCAAGCCCTCGACGGTGTAATTGGGTGGTGGGGGTAATGATTGTTTGGTAGGAAATTGGGTATAGCTATTGACTTTGGCTGGCTGATCGTGGTGGAATGGGGGTGCGGTGGTGGAGTGTAGCTTGGGATGGAGATGTTTAACTAGATAGGATAGGGAGGTTTTTTGTTGTTTGGGTTGGGTCTAGGTTCGGGATTACAGAGCTAGAGAAGACTACTACCATATGAGTTTGAGAACCGAGTACCACAAAATGAAGGAATAGCAAAATTTATTATTCTAGCTACCTGGCTAGCTACGCATCTGCTCCACCGTCCCCTCAAACAGCCCCACCGCACTCTTCTCCACCGCCACCACCTCCTTCACCATCCCCTCCCACTCCCCCCTCTCCACCACCGCCGCCACAACACCCACACACCTCCTCAACTCCGCCATCACCGTCTCCCCGCCCTCCCCCCATCCCCCATCCTCCACCACCCTCCTCCAACACACCACACACGCCCTCACCACCTCCCACACATACCCCCCCACCCTGCTCCACCCCACCCTGACCACCTCCACCAGCGCCCGCACCGCCCCCACCGCCAACCCCCACCTCACCCCCACAAACGGATCCACCAGCACCCCCACAAGCACCCCCACCACCTCCCCAAGGTGCCTAACACACCACACCCCCATCTCCCCCACCAGCACCCCCACCACCCCCACCAGTACCTCCGCCACCGCCACCACCTCCCCCGCATACCGCATCCCCGCCAGCACCCCGCGTCTCAGCAGCACCCCCAGCAGCCTCGCCCGCTCCCGCGCCTTCCCAGCACCCATCACGCGCGCCAGCGCCACGAGCGCATCATACCCCGCTGTCAACAGCGGCACGGAGACAGCCGTCGGCGTGAGCGGCGGTAAGGACAGGACACACGGGAGTGCGGCGTCCCAGAGGACGGGCGCGAGTCCGGTGCGCACCAGCATTGCGGGTGTCTGCGGGTGGAGCAGGAGCGCGGAGAGGACGTGGGCGCCGCGGGCCTTCGTGGGCGCGTGGGTGTCGTCGAGGAGGGTGAGTGTCGGCGGGACGATGAGGTGCCAGGACGGCTCGAGGTGGGAGGGCGGGAGGTGGAGTGTGACCCAGTGGAGGAGCGTTGGTGTGGCTGGGTGCGTGCTGCGGTAGGAGGGTGGTGTGGGCGGGAGGAGGGGCGCGCGGAAGGTAGACTGGCGTACGGCGGCGTGCGCGAGGGGTGTCAGCGTGGGGTGGGGGGCGGTGAAGTGGGGTTTGAGCGCTGTGAGGAGGGTCGTGAGCGTTGATGCGGGGAAGGTGTGCTGGTCGAGCAGCGAGGTGGACAGCGCCCGCGACGGGGCGGTGGTCCAGGGGTCGTGCGCGGACGTCTGTGCGATCAGTGCGACTGCAAGGTCCGTGCTGATGTCGGCTGGTGCCAGGCGCGCGATGATCTGGAGCGCGAGGTGGCAGACCGCTTGGTACGGCGCCAGCACCGCCGGGGGTGTGACGTCGTCGTCTTCGAGGACGTGTTCGGGCGGCAGCAGGGCCTCCGTTGGCATCATGGCCGCTGGGAGCCACTGCAGCAGTGTTTCGGCCTCTGCGGGTGTGACATTTGCGGTGTCGGTTGTGAGGGTGTTGAGCGCGGTGAGGTTCTCGAGGAGCTGTGTGTGGTGGGGGGGGGGATGTTAGAATGGCTGTGCTGCGGGTGAGCTTGGGATCTAGAGAGAGGGAGAGAGAGCGGGGAGGGGGGGGGGAGAGGGGGGGGAGAGGGGGGGAGGCTTACTTGGGAGTATTCAAGCTCCGGAGAGGCGTCTGGTGGTGTTGTGCACAGCTCTGTGATTGTGGACATCGTGGGCGGTGAGTGGAGATGTTTCGATGTTTCGATGTTTCGGCGGTGAGTAAGTGAGCGAGGATGGGTTAGGGTTGTATTATGCCTGCCTGCATGAGGCTCTTGGCGGAAATGATTGTTTGGCCTGTCCTGCGGTAGTATCCCAATGCCTGGGGTTTTTCTCGCAGAAGAGGCCGGGAATCTAACTAATTGGCTGAACGAATGCCCGGTTGGAGCTGTCCGGCTCGCGCAGAACACCCACACACCCGCACACCCACACACCCACACGGCAATCACTGGCAGCCCTCTCTCTCTCTGGCTCTGCCTGCCGTGTGCACGACCGGGTAACCAAACCACCGCCAGCACAGGGCTAGCGCCAGAGCTAAGCTTTGTCCGAGACTCGAAGATCGAATATATAAATGGAAGAGAGCTCACAACACCACGCATATCACGGACATCCCCATAACCACAATCACCAGAGACACCACAGGCACCACCGGCAGCTATACGCTCTGAACCCCCGCACGCTATGGCGACCGTCAAGGGCTCGGCCTCCTACAAGAAGAAGGACGGCGCTCTCCTCGTGCTTAAGGACTCGGTGACATGGACGCCTGCTGCACCCCCGGGGGCACCGCCGTCGCTCACGATCCCGACGAGTACGATTACTAGTATGGCCCTTCCCATTCCCATTCTCACTCCCACTCTCACTCCCACTATAATCCCTCCCCCCCCCCCTTTTCCCTCCCTCTCCCCCGTCCCCGACTCCTACCACACTACACCCCACTGACCCTCCCCCCCCCCCCCAAGACCTACAAGCCACCCCCGCAACAACCGCAAAAGTAATGATCAAAGTCTTCGCCAAAACCCTCCCGGACAAAGACCCCGAGCAATACGTCTTCACCTTCACCTCCCCGCCCCCCACAGCCCGCACCGAAGCCGACGCCGTCAAGGAAGCCCTCACAACACGCATCCAAGACTCCAAGACCACCTCCGGGCCCGCAACCCCCTCCGCCTCCGCCTCCACCACCACCCTCCCCGACCCCGCCGACTGGTCCAAATCGCGCCTCGAGAACGACATGGCCCTCCAGCAGTCCCTCCTCAAGTCCAACGCCGACCTCTCCAAGACCTTCAGCGAGGCCGTCCTCTCCAACGCCGTCACCGCAACCCAGTTCTGGAGCACGCGCACGCACCTGCTCCGCGCGCATGCCATCGAGCGCGAGCAGCGCCGCGGCCCGTACAACGTCCTCGCCACGATCAAGCCGAAGACCGAGGACGGCGTGGGCAAGATTAGCATCTCGCAGGACGTCATCCGCGACATCTTTGAGCAGCACCCGCTGGTCAAGAGCGTGTATGACGAGAATGTGCCCAAGATCTCGGACACGGCGTTCTGGATGAGGTTTTTCATGAGCCGGCTGTTTAAGAAGCTGAAGGGCGAGAAGCCGCTGCCGACGGATGGGACGGATGGGATCTTTGATCGGTACTTGTATCGGGATGATGAAGGTTTGCAACCCTTGCTGTGGAGGTGGGAGGGATAGTGCTGATGTGTGGTGGGCGTGGTAGAGAACTCGCGCAAGAGACGCCGCATCGAGACGCTCCCGCGTACCATTGATCTCGAGGGCAACGAGCAGAACCTCTCGCAGAAGCAGGGCAACATGCCCGACCTCACGATGCGCCCCACAAAGGTCGAGAACGTCCCGATCATCCGCACGCTCAACAGTCTCTCCCAGAAACTCGTAGATCTTGTCGCACCGTGAGCCCCCCTTTGCCCTCAATCCCCACTGCCCCCAATCCCCACTGCCCCCAATCCCCACTGCCCCACCCCCCCCTTCCCCCACACATACTAACCTCCCCCCCCTCCTCCGGAGGGGCACAGAGCCGACTCCGACCCCACCACAACCGAAGACCAAGACACCCTCACCATACTCTCCCAAACACTACACGACCTCCGCGCCGACCCCACCGAGGAACGCATAATCCTCAACATCCGCGACCAGCGCCGCTTCTTCTCCGGCTCCGACTCTGCCGCCGCGGCCGCCGCCGCCGCCGCAACCACGCCCTACGCCTCCCTCGCCCCCGACGCCGTACTCGCGCAGCTGCGCAGCTCGCTGGGCGACCGCCCTATCGACCTCGAGGCGCTGCTGCCCAACGGCAACGGCGACGGCGACGGCGACGACGACGACGGCGACGGCGGCGACGAGGAGAAGGCGAGGAAGCGGCCGCGCCCCAGTGATGCCGCCGCACAGGTCGTCGCCGCCGTCAAGTCGCGGCGCGCGGCGATGCTGGACGCTGGTGCCCGGACGGGCTACAATAGTAGCCGCACGGGGGGTCTGCCGGCGTCCGTGTTTGAGAGCGTGACGCTGGTGCACGCGACGACGCATGAGTTCCTGCGGCACTTTTGGCTGGCGTTCCTGAGCGGGGACGAGAAGCGGGCGGGCGACATCACGAAGCTTGTGGCGAGCCTGGGGAATTCAAAGGGGCGGATCGAGGCGATTGCGGCCATGGCGGATAGGGAGAAGGAGGAGGAGCGGGGGCGGAGGAAGCGGGAGGCGCAGGAGGAGTATCGCAAGACGGGGGTGAAGCCGAAGAAGAGGAGTATGGAGGTGGGTGGTGGGAGGGGGGTTGTGGAGCGCATTTTGGGGCCGACGATTAGAGCGGTGGAGATGGCGGTGGGGAGGTATGGGGCGGCGGTGGAGGAGGCGGAGAGGGTTAATGCGGCGGCGTAAGGGGGGGGGGGGTGTTTATTGCTAATTAATAGGGAATGAATAGAGACTTTTTCTTTTTTTTTTGTTGTTTGGGGTGTCTCTGTTTGCGAGAAAAGGGTTGTGGTTTTTGAGCCTGAGTATTTCTTTTTTGTGCTTCTTTGTTTCTTCGGTATATATAGCTTAGATAGGATTTGGCATTGCATTGCATTGGGATTTTGGGGGGGAGGAGCAAAGACGGAGTTTTTGCAGTGTATGATATATACAAGAAAACTATTTACTTCCACCACTCCCGTCCCTCCCATCCACCCCATCCCACTCCCAGCAAACCACACAACCCCCATCTCCAGAAGAAGCAGAAGCAGATCATCTATTTAACCTTCTTAACCTTCAACTTGATCGTCTCATCGCCCACAAATATACCCTACCCCACCCCGTCAGCCCCCCGCCAAAACCCACAAAAAAACGGGACCAAGAAACTCACCTTGCCCTTATACGGCTCCGGCTTCCTCCACTCCCTCACCACCGCCGCAAAGTCCTTAATCTTGATCTTATCACACCCCTCCAGCAGTATCCTCGTGGGCATGGGCACCTGACACTTGACCCCCTCCGGCACCGGCAGCTCCACGGGGTGCGAGAACCCCACCTTGAGGTTCAGTATCGTGCCGCCCTTCTCGACCGTCGCACGGTACCCCACGCCCACCAGACGCAGGATCACGCTGTGCCCCTCCGTCACGCCCAGCACGAGGTTCTGCAGCACGCTGCGTGTGGTCCCCCACATTTCGCGCTGCTCGCGGATTGTGGCGTCGGCGACGCTGATGGTGGCGCGCGTGGAGGTGGTGGCGGGGATGGGCTCGGTGCTGATGGTCAGGTAGGGGGGCAGCGGGAGTGTTAGCGTGCCGAGGGGTCCTTTGACGATCCTAGGTTAAATGTTAGCTGGGAGAGTGGCCGCGGGGGAGGGGGAAGGGAGGGGAGGGGGGGCGGTGGAAGGGGGGACGGTGGGTGAGTTACATAGACCCAATTGGGCGGTCCCGTGGATTCGTCGATTTCGGGGGGGGCAGGCGTGTTAGCTCAACTTCGGCGGGAATGATGACGGGCAGCATCCCAATCTTTGATGGCCGCTGGGCCGTGCTGGTGAACGTTCTGCATGCAGCGGCGGCATGTCGTGGCGCACCGTGGCGGAATAGTGGCAGCATTGTGGGCGGCGGCGGTGGGTGGTGGGTTTTGCGGTCTCGGTGCGGGCTGCAGTGGGTGAGGTTGAAAATGCAGAGCGTGCCAAGAGTTTGTCACGTGCGTGGTGGGTAGTGGGAAAAGAGCCGCAGGAAGCGAGCGATGACGGGATGTGCACTCACTCATGTGGGAGCCGCAGGGATCGTTAATATTAGAGTATTAGGCTGCAGACACAGACATGGATGGAGAGTGCAGTCTTACTGTTGTGTTCTGCAGGCAGGGGTGCAGAAATATAGTCGGGTGAGATGTAGAGATCTTTTCGGAGTGCCTGGCCGCCAGTAAAGTTAAGGTGCATGACTGCCCCGCAGCGAAACAGGAGTTCGTTCCTACGTAGAAGGCTCGGGCCCAAGTGTAGTGACTGGGAATGACGAAAAGAAAGGATCTATGCAAGAAAGACAGAATAAATACTACAGTAGATAGCACTGTGTCTGCTGTGAACTGTCCTCGCTTGACTAGAGCACTACCAAGCTTGTCCTTCTCTTGTCTCACAATCTCTGGTCGCTTGGCCGCTTGTGCCTGGCTCTGGACAGTGTGTGTAGTTGTCCATGTAGTAGCATGTCTAAGCAATGTAGGTAGTAGTAATATAGTAGTAATAGCACAGTAATCCGCGGTAGATGAATTCAATGCAAGCATCGTGCGCCCTCTCTCCCCTCCCTCACTCGCTCACCGGAGCGGACTCGGAACCCGAGTGACAGCCAATGATCGGTCCCAGGAATCCGCCCGGCTTGGCCGGTATCCAGACACCCGACGATAGCACCCCTGCACTCGTGCTACAATACTCTACTCTAGCGTCCATCCATGCCTTCTTCTAATTGGAGTGGAGTGGTGGAGTGCTAGCTACTGTGGTACTCTATCTCAAGTAGCTGCATCATAATTAATATATATGCCCGATCTCAACTTTCTCGAGACCCTGAGTACTACCTGCTGTATCGCACTCCTCTCTATGCTCTACTAATCATAATCAAATCCCCCGTAAGACACTTCCCATTGACTTACATGATCCCACACAGGTCCGACATTGATCTGAGACCGTCCGATTCACCACCACACCACGCGGTACGCCATGGAACCAACAAATCCGGCGACTGCACCCCCTCCTCGGGACATCTTGATCGCAACACGTTGACGAGCAGATCTGGAGCGAGACAAAGCATTCCAACCAGGGGGCGGTACACGCGCAGTGCATACCCTATCTGCTCAATTCTACTAACGGCAATAGTTCACTAGACAGAGGAGGGCGTCCAGCCTTACGCCTCTATTCGCTTCTTGCCTATCGCTGATTTGTTGGTTGGGGGCAAGATACCTTGCATGTGTGGATCTGTTGCTGGCCAGCAGCACACACACCACACACACATCCTCGCACCCTACACATCCCAATAAACAACTTGCCCCCCCCCCGACGTACCCCGTAACACAACTACGTGATAAGCTCCAACATTCTAGCTGGGAACGGAGGGAGGGGGCAGTGGAAGCAGGAAAAAATAATTGTACAACACGGTCCACCCCCCAAAATCGATTGGTGCCAATGGCTCAGCTGGAGATATAAAAATTGGGGAGGGGAAACCTACTTTTTCACTTTTTTTTCCTTCTCGTTCTCTGTGTCTTTCTTTTCTTTCTACGCCGTGACAGGAATCATGATCTTTGCTGGCATGGAGTCAATGTTTTCGCAGCTCTGGAAGTGGCGCTCCCCAAAAGCGGTCGAGTCAAAACAGGATACAGAACTTACGAAGACCACCCCACCCCCAGCACCGTCCTCCCCGCTCCTCACGCTCCCCAACGAGCTCATCCTCGAGATCTCCACCCACCTCACGACGCCCAAAGACCTCCTCTCCCTCCTCCTCACCACCCGGGCCTTCCCCCCCCTCCTCCAACCCATCCTAAGCACCCACGCCTTCAGCTCCCCCACCTACCCCGGTGCCCTCCAAACCGCAGCCCGCACCTCCAACCTCCCCCTCGTCCACACCCTCCTTCGCACCATCCCCGTCAACGACGGCCTCACCCGCAGCCTCGAGACCCCCCTCCACCACGCCCTAAAGGCACCCACCCACCGCCGCACCCAGTCCACAACAACAATAGTTGCCCTCCTCCTCTTCCACGGCGCCGACATCTCCGCCCGCGCTCCCGTAGCCATAACACCCCTACACTACGCCGCCTTCCACAACCTCCCCGAGTGCGCGGCGCTCCTCCTGTCAGCGGGCGCCGACCCCAACGCGGCCGACGCCTTCGGCCGTACACCACTACACTGCGCCGCGGCCGCGGGCGCAACCGCCGTCGTTCGCCTACTCCTGCAGCACGGGGCGGACGTGCGCATGCGCGACCGGTATTATCGCCTGCCCGTGTCGTATGGGAACGCATATTACAGGCTGGGGTGCACGGCACAGCTGTATAAGGCCATGGGCGAGAAGTGGGCGTATCCGCCACGGATACAGATGCGGTGCTTGGTGCTTGATACGCTGCTGGGGTGGGTGTTTCGGTGTCGCGGGAGGGTGGGGTTTGGGCTGGTGTTGGGGCTGGTGGTGCTGTGGGTTGTGCCGGCGGCGCTGCTGGTGGCGGTGGGGAGGGCGTTGAGGGTTGACAGGGCGTGGATGCTGGGGAGATGGGCGTTGGGGCTGGGGGCGGGGCCGGAGTGGGGGGAGTATGGGGTAAAGGGGAAAGGGGCGGAGGAGGAGGAGGAGGATTAGCAGTAAGAGTAGGGGAACTAGGGGGTTTTGGGGGGAAAGCGGTTGGCATTCTTTTGGGGTTTCTTTCCTTTGTGTTGGGTTCTGGATGGGGCGTATAACATTGTAGATAACTTTTTAGGGGATAATGATAATGACTGAATGTCTTAGCTGCTGATCATCCGCTGGGACTAAACCAGAATAGTAAAATAGCTCCGACTAGTTGCAGAAACAATTGTTAGTGATGAATGTTTGACGCCCTCCACACTCTAACAGAAAGATAAAGATCTTCAGGCATACAACACGGCGCAATTGCAACATATAACACGCAGTGCTTAGTAGAAGATTGGGGGGTGAAGTGTAGGTATCATGTGATGCATCAATTCAATTGCAAGGGGAAGCTAGAACCTTTTGTACGGAAGCCCGTAGTATAAAGAGTATAAAGACCGCCGATCGACCAACACCAGACGTGAAAGCGTGCATGTATGTAGACATTCGAACCCACAATGGCACTTGCATGTAGTTGATGTACATAGTTAGTTTACAGATAGAAGCAACAAGAATCTGATTATCTCGTGCTGTAAGGCAGTGCGTGTTCCATTGGCTGTAGCAGGACGAACCTACTGGATGAGAGAAGAGACGATGGTGATATTAACAGGACTACTAGAGTTTCTAGCTTTATACGATATACTTGAGGACAGGCTGTCACGCCACAGTTGTAGCGTACGTAAAATAGATGTCAGTCACGTATCCTGTACGACAGTGCGCGTGCGCAGGTTAACCAATTCCTAATAACAATCTTTGTTTCCCATCACTGCAGTAACAAATTGCGATGCAGACCATATATGCGCCCATCGGCCAGGGGGTGGTGTCGATTAGTTGGGTTTTAGGCGCCAAGCATTGTTAGCCTGGGCGCGGCGGTAAGGATGTGCTTTTTCATGCTTGGGAAATCATTTCCGGTTGCCCGCACTAGTAAATACTGACATGTAGGAATGTAGATGGGGTGACTCTGGCTGATCATGACACTACATGTCATCTTCCCCCACTACGTCAGCGGATTCCCTCCGCGCGTGGTCTCGACTCTCGCTCCCAGGATGGATTCTATCCTTTATCCCTCTGGCCATACATTCCTCGATCTCTATCCCGATCCCCTCTCGTTCTGTTGCAGCTAGACACATGTACAAGCCATTCCTATCGACCACAACCCCCGTTCTCCGTTCCGCACCCCCCATCTTCGGCTTCCTGATTGCTAACTCCCCCGGGACCTTTGGCTTCTTCCATCCCTCACTTTCGTTCCTTTGTCTACCCTGAATCTATCATCTCCCCCCTCCTTGGATTCAACTCTTCATCTTCTCTCATCACTAACGATCTTCAACTAGATCTAAACTTTTCTTACAGTTTCTTCCTGCTGGGTCTTCCCAGATCGGAATATTCGTATACTAAAATATTTATGATACTACATCCCGTCTCCAACCGTAGTTCTGGGGAATCCTTTTGTCTCTGTATCTTACAGTACTAAGCCTTCTACGGACGAATATAGGTACTATCATTAAATCGAAACGGCTAAGAGGATAGTGCTTGTTTAGTGAGACCATTGCTCGTTGGCGTAGGGAGCCAAATACATCGTCAACTGACAATTAACAATTGGCTTTACCCATGGATGGACTATCATGATTGGGACCTGCCAGTTATAAGCTTGAAATATATTAGGCCGTCCTTGGATTTTTGAGCCGTGCCACCAGCCGCACGGAAAAGGCAATATTAAGCTCGATTATAAAATCGATCTTTTCAATCCAGGTAGAGATCCGAGGGCCTATAAGAAAAAGGAAAATAAAAGTCTCAGACTTAAACCAACTTTATATGTCTACCGTTGGTTTAGCCCGAGACTTTTATTTTTCTGAGCCTAAGGAGATTATTGGACAACCCTCGAGCTTGCCTGTACAGCGACAGGTAATAAGTGATGGAACGCCCTGAGATATAGTTATACCTGCAAACACCGTATATTGGTGGCGTTTTACCCAAAACAGGTATCACTGTGTCTCAGCGTGTTCCATCACTTTTTACCTACCGCTGTACGATGATTATTAGTGAGCTAAATGACCCAGTCATTTCCTAAAAGAAGGAGACAAGGATAGGTTTGCCAAGTACGGGTAACGTACTACTGGAAGATAAAGCCCACTCTCGACGGGACCGGAGACGTAACCAGAAGCCCATTTGTAAGGCAATATATTAAACCGAGCCCATCTAGCCTCTGACCGGCCTGAAAGCTGCTGAGATGCGTTTCTTGTAGAATCAACTGGGCGCAGAAGGGTGAACAGAAGTCTAGAAACGCTCTGAGTCTTGATCAATTGAGGAACCCTGAAAGAGTTAAATGCCGTGATCAATGCTCTCCATAACAACACCAAGACTTATTCCGACAAGAAATAAACTAAGAAGAAACTACAACACCAAAATCGGGTATCGGATACAACCGTAGCAGTATAATATTGTGAAAGCTCTGGTGTTGCTCCGGCTCCTATGAGAGTGCGCGTTTGCCGAAATGCGGCATCGCAGCGGTAATTACTAGCCAAACAGCCCCCCCTTCCAAGTGACAACCTCACATAATTGGCTCAGGAGCTACTCCTATCTCCTGGTTTAATTTAGAGCTCATGTAGCTTGGATGACCGGTTATCAAGTCATGAGACGGCAATGCTTCTGTAATGTACTACAGTAGTTGCGATCGGTAAAGACCAGAAATAACTAAAAGGCTCTTTACCTTTCTTGACTATCTTAAATGAAAGCCACAGCTCATGAAGCATTCGCGTCCATTTAAACTTGAATCCCAACATAGTAAAAATGCATGCCAAAAACAACACACCGTGGACATACATCTGAATACTCCTCTTCACGCCCCCTCGAATCACCAGCCATCACTCGCCCCCACTACCCTGCCTGATCCCTGTCGAAATCTTGGCGCCAAGCGCACGAAAATCTCGTTACCAAAGCAAAAAAAAAAGTTCCACCCCAAGCACCAACGACCAGCAACAACAACTACCACTCGTTCAATAACCCAAAACCCACAACCTTCCCTCTCCGAAAAAATATCACAACCCTCCCTCCACTCCCTATCCCAGACAGAAACATCTCACATATAAGCAATGGGTAAGGGTCGTTCAAAGCTAAAGCAAGGCCCGCCCGGCGCCCTCGACGAGTCCCTCATCTCGTCGCTCAAGCCCGGCATCAAGCGCAAAGCCAGCACCGCCGCCGACGATGGCGGCAGCGACGGCCCAACATCAATTGGAAAGAAGGTCCGTCAGGAGGAGCAGCAGAAGGCCAAGAAGCGCAAGGAAGAGGACTTCCGAAAGACCAAAGCTGCAGCGACGAAAAAGGCGACAAAGGACAAGAACCAGCAGCAGCAGAAGAAGAAGTCCGTGGCCGGTAAGGTTGTGAGTTCAAAACCTGCAAGGAAGTCTGCGGAGCCTAGTAAGAAGAAGGACCTATTTGACGATGTGGATGAGATTAATGATGCAATTGCTGCTGCGGAGGAGGACGAGGAGGAAGATGGTGAGGAGGGACCTGGCCCCGTCTCGCTCAAGGATGACTTTTTGGCGAGTGGGGACTCGGACTCCGAGGATGATGTCTACGATTCTGAGGAGGATCAAGGACCGAAACCAATCTTTTCCGACGACGAAGACGACTCGGAGGGAGAGGAGAGGCTGACGGCAGCCAACATTGAGGGGCTCTCACGGAAGCTCGATATGCAGCTCGCCGAGGAGGCCGCCGAGGCCCAAGCTGAGCTCGAGGAGGCGGCCATGCAGACCAACATTGCCCACGACAAGCCGAAGATTCTCGGGGACGCCGGAGAGGACGAGGATGAAGACATGACTGCTGCTCCCCCAGACATTGCCCTTCTCCGCACCCGCATTAACGATACCGTCCGCGTTCTCGAAGACTTTTCAAAGCTGTCTGAAGAGGGTCGCTCGCGCGCCGACTACACCGAACAGATCATCAAGGACATCTGCGAGTACTACGGATACTCGCCGTTCCTCGCAGAAAAACTTTTCAACCTCTTCTCCCCGTCCGAGGCGTTCTCCTTCTTCGAAGCCAACGAGAAGGCGCGCCCACTCGTCATCCGTACAAACACCCTCAAGACCGCCCGCCGTGAGCTCGCCCAGGCACTCATCAACCGTGGTGTCACCCTCGAGCCCGTCGGCAAATGGTCCAAAGTCGGCCTCCAAGTCTTCGAATCCCAAGTTCCCCTCGGTGCAACTCCAGAGTACCTTGCGGGCCACTACATCCTACAAGCCGCTTCCTCTTTCCTTCCCGTCATGGCTCTGGCTCCCCAGGAGAACGAGCGTATTCTCGACATGGCCGCTGCCCCCGGTGGTAAGACAACCTACATCTCAGCACTCATGAAGAACACCGGCTGCGTCTTCGCCAACGATGCCAACCGCGCACGTACCAAGGGTCTGATCGGTAACATCCACCGCATGGGCGTCAAAAACACCATCGTCTGCAACTACGACGCCCTTGAGTTCCCTAAGGTCATCGGCGGCTTCGACCGCATCCTCCTCGACGCGCCCTGCTCCGGCACAGGCGTCATCAGCAAGGACCCCAGCGTCAAGACCAACAAGACCGAGCGTGACTTCCTCGCGCTCCCGCACTTGCAGAAGAGGCTACTGCTCGCCGCAATCGACTCGGTCGACCACAGCTCCGCAACCGGCGGCTACATCGTCTACTCCACCTGCTCGGTGACCGTCGAGGAGAACGAGGGTGTGGTCGAGTACGCGCTGCGCAAGCGGCCCAATGTGCGCCTTGTTGAGACGGGGCTGACGTTCGGCCGCGAGGGCTTCACGTCGTTCCGCGGGAAGCGGTTCAACGAGAAGATGAAGTTTACGAGACGCTACTACCCACACATGTACAACGTCGACGGCTTCTTTGTCGCAAAGTTCAAGAAGATTGCGCCTACGCCGAAGGCGGATGCGGAGAAGGAGAAGGACAAGGAGGACGACGACGAGGAGATGGCTGATGCAGTGGAGGATGAAGATGACGTGCCGTTTGGCGGCTTTGACGATGAGGCCGATAAGGAGCTGTTGGAGAAGGCGGAGATCAGAATGAGGAAGAAGAAGGGTCTCGGAAACGGTGCCAAGAAGAACGGAGTGAATGGTAACGCCGCTGCCCCCGCCGCAGAGGAGGTCGAGAAGAAGGTTGAGGAATTGAAGATTGTGGAGGAAGCAAAAGCCGAGGAGCCCAGAAAAGAGGTCGATACCCCGAAGAAGAAGGATACAAAAAAGGGAAAGAAGACCAGCCAGGAAACCGAAAAGCCAGTCGTCGCCGATACCCAGAAGAAAGATGAACCAAAAGGCAAGAATACCAAGAAGGACGCTGAAAAGCCAGTTCCCGCAACAGAGACAGCCCCAGCAGAGGTGAAGGAGAAGAAGAAGTCAGCTACAAAGAAGTCACAGAAAGGCAAGAAGGGTGGGAAATAACTATAACTACATAGACTAGCCTCGCTGCACCTGTCCACATAAACTTACCTTATTGTACTATCCATATAATAGCAATCTCTCTCTGTCTCTATACTTTTTCTCTTTCTTTCCTGTTCTATTCTTGGTTTTGTTTGAGGTGGATTGGCTTTTAAGTTTTACGGGCTGGATAAAAAAAGTTTTTTTTCTTTCTTTTTCTCTCTCCTTTTCTTTCCTTTTTGTGTGAGTGTGAGTGCGGGTTTATTGTGTGTAGATAGATTGATGAGCTATGTGCATGTGCGAGCCCGGTCGGTTGTATAAATACTCCTTACTTAGGATCTGTGTTCTTTTTTTGATGCTGTCGTGTTGTTGTGCCGCCGGCCACGGGAAGTGGTTGTGATACAACCTAGGACGGAGAGGGTTGATCATTGACCCGGGCCAATGATGCGAAGACTGTATATATGTAATTTGGAACAGTCCCTCCCACCGAAATAAGTGACAAACACAAAATTTGATCGTGCCGTTATTAGTTATTCGCATTTGGATCTAACTATGTACTCAAAAACACCAAAAGGCTCGAAGCACTAAAAGGCTTAAGTAAAATCGATTAAATACACGAAACGAGAAGAGAAGGTAAAGGAAAAGTTCTAAACATCCGTTAAAGAACTCCTCCAGATGGCCACCGCCATGTCCACGACCTTCTTCATCTCGTCCACATCATGGACCCTAACAATGTCGGCCCCGCCGCACACACACGCGGCCACAGCACCCGCTGTCCCCCATTGTCGCTCTCCCGCCATCTCGACGCCCGTGATCGTTCCCACAAACCTCTTCCGGCTCGGCCCCAACAGCCACGGCATTCCATTTAGGTCCCCACCCCACCTTGTCAGCTGCCCCAGGTTCCGGATCACCTCGAGGTTCCCAGCCATGGTCTTTGCGAACCCTAGGCCCGGATCAAGGATGATGTTCCATCTCCTGATACCAGCCTCCTCGGCGGCCCGAACGCGCTCAGCAAGCTCTGACGCAATAGTTGCGATCACCCCGTCGGGATAGGACGTGTGCTGATTCATTGTCACTGGTGTGCCGCGCATGTGCATGATGCAGATGGGCACGCCAAGCTGCGCAACAGTCGCAAACATGTCTGGGTCAAGACGGCCCGAAGAGATGTCATTGATGATGTCTGCGCCTGCTTCTACAGCCGCCTTGGCGACAGAGGCACGGTATGTGTCGATGCTGATCGGGACAGTGATACCTGCAGCACGGATTGCCTTGATAGCTGGGATCACACGGCGGATCTCCTCGTCGGCGCCGACATCCTGTGCACCTGGGCGGGTGGATTGGCCGCCGATGTCGATAATGGAGGCACCAGAGGCGATAAAAGCGTTCGTGGTTGTGATGAGGGATGAGTGGAGATGCTTGCCGCCATCGGAGAAGGAGTCTGGGGTGAGGTTGAGCACGGCCATGAGAAGGGTGGGGCGGTGGGGATTTGAGGGATCGAGGGGAGGCAGGTGAGGTGAGAGAGACATAAAGGTGCGGAGAGGGGGGGTGTTGAGTGGCGCGGGGGGCAGCGCAGAGAGGTGGTGCTTAAATGCCGTGGAAGTTAGGGGGTGGGCCCGCTCGGGAGCGATACTAAACAGGTGATATAAGTATTTATATATGAATAGCTTTAGGTGGTGTAATAAGCTTACTCGCAGAGGGGACGGAGAACGAATTCTCGTTCCAACATGGCTGCATGTGGAATTATCAGGTCCTCGGTATTCAGCGTCAGATCATCGTATAGAAGAATGTCTAGATCGATTGAGCGTGGTCCTTTCTCGACGACCTTTACTCTGCCTAGGGTATCTTCAATCTCTTTGACTGTCCTCAGCAGATCATGAGGAGATAGAGTAGTTTCTACCTATAGTCTTCTTAGTTGTGTGTTCAAGTGAAAATCATCGCATGGGGCCATTACCTGGATCACCCCATTCAGAAACGTTGGCTGATCTAGAACATACATAGGCGCGCTCTGATAAAGATTGCTTGTTCTTTTGACAGTAATTCCTCTCTTCTCAAGTTCGACCAATGAGCCCTTGACAGCTTTAAAGCGGTCGCCAACGTTGCTTCCTATAGCGAGAAAAACATCGTGTTTGCCTTCACCAACGCTAGAGAATTCCTCAAGGTTAAAGAAGGATCTTTCTCTTGTGATCTCGACGCCGGGACAGTCGGCGAAAGTCAAGGCGCTAGGCTTCTCGGCCTGAACCGTAATCTTCGATACACCACATTTGACGCAGGCCTCGCGGGCAATCGCTGTGACGAAGGCCTCGACTGTCTTGTAATCCGAAGCCTCAATGTGTTCTGTAATATGCTGCGCAACAGTGCGGAAGTCGTAGCTAGGGTCAAACTTTCCAGCCTGGGTTTCTCCGCTGGCCAATTGTTCTGACTCGAGATTGGCTGATTTCTTGGACTCGTTTGGTTTGTGCATGGTCAGGTTAATGACCACATTTTGCTTCTCCAGGCGTTCGTATGAGTTGACACCGATGATTGTAACAAGCCTCAGGTTCTTTACGAAGACCTTATCCTCGCCTTCTACAACTACCGAGCCATCTGCCTCTTTTTTGCGTGTTATTGAAATTCCGGCCGCATCAGCCCTGAGAAGTGCTCTAGGTTTCTCCACTACAACCTTGACCCATTCTCCGTTTAGCACTGGACTCAATGCTAGTCGAGCAACCTTCTCGACGAGGTGTTCGAGGGAGTGAAAATTGTTGTCCTCCACGAGGGCCGAAACAGATTTTGCAACGGTCCCGTAATTGATGCTGTACGGCAAGTGGTCCGTTGACCCAGCAAGCGCAACTGAGCTCTTAAGCCATATGGAGAGTAGGATAGGCTGTGGTCGAGGGCGTTTCCAAAAGTCAACCCCGGTAGTCGCTTTTCTTTAACTGTCAGATTTTTCCAAGAAGGTATCCCCCCGCCCCCCCTCCCCCCTATAAAACCTGATGATCATATACCTACAAGTTCAAAGAGCGGACAAAGATCAAATCATTCCCTTCCTCTGAAGAGGGAGCCTCGCGCATAGTTACAGAGTAATTCCGATTTCCCTCGTGCTGTAGCTGCTTTGGGAATGGGCGAGGGGGGAATTGGAGGCGCAATTGGGCCACTAAAGCGGGTCGCAGAAATATATGTCGGTGAGAGGCGAGAGCAGGTCTCAAACGATATCGTAACGTGGAGAGCATTTGGTGGGGTTTTTTTTGATCCCTGGACGCTCAGTCTGGTCTTGAGTGCGGGGTATCATGTGATCAGTGTGGATCGTGAGCTAGCCTTATCCGCAACCCTAGCCTTTGCAAGAAAAGCAGGTACACATCTGTCAGTAGTAAATGTATGAGACTTGGATGCCATCCAGAAATTCGAAATTAAGCCCCCAGAGATTTTTCCGGCCAAATGGTCTCAGGCAGAACGGTTTGAAATGGGAGCCTCTTAGTATTTACTACATGTAGTAGTGACGGCAACTCAGGGTACATGTATTCAATGGATGTAGGGCAGAGGGAAAGTTCTTATATAAAGTACCTACGCTCATGATCCGTCTGTAGGTACATGTATGTACATGTAGGTCTATGTAGATTTAACAATCAGTGACAATTAACAACAAGAACATTTAGACATGTCCTTTTACCAAACGCTGAATTTAAACTCTCAAGCTTTACTTGTTCTAGCTAGACAGACTTATTGACTAGAGTGATGACGTCTTTGTGATTAGATCGATCAGATAAGTGAGATAAGAAGTGAAATGCTTGTCGTCATTTCGATTTTTGATCTGTCGAAATACCGGCCACAAAATGCCTTCCCGTCGTTTATTTTCCACAATTGGAGCTCTAAGCCATGAGAATCCCTTGGTAATATAGTGTTTTTTTCTCGCCGTGTCTCTCGCTTGCTAATTCGAACAGGGACTTCCCAAATCTGGATCCTTTCCGCGTATGCAGAGAGGGCTTCCCACAAAAAGACATATCAAAGATGTTGACAAAGTGATCGCCGTATCTTCTGCAAAGGGCGGTGTTGGAAAGTCCACGGTTGCAGGTTTGAACCGAATCCCATAGTCTTGATGCACGAGTGCTAATTCTAGCCTTAGTTAATCTTGCTCTTGCTCTTGCACGGCAAGGAAAGAGGACTGGAATTCTCGACACTGACATTTTTGGACCTTCGATCCCCAGACTTTTAAACTTATCCGGCGAGCCTCATCTCTCTCAAAGTACATAATTCACTCCTTTACCGCCTACAGGACGAATTGCGGAAGTTGATCTAGGAGGTAGACAACCAGTTGATTCCAATGAGTAACTACGGCATCAAGTCCATGTCGATGGGATATCTGGTAGGCGAAGAGGCACCGGTAGTTTGGCGTGGTTTGATGGTCATGAAGGCTTTACAACAGCTTCTCCATGAGGTCGAGTGGGGCGGCCTAGATGTGTTGGTTTTAGACTTGCCTCCAGGAACCGGCGACACTCAACTCACAATAACCCAACAGATTATACTCGATGGTGAGTGCATTTACACAGCTATAACTCCGATTATGGGTTAGAGCTGATGCCCTCTAGGTGCCGTTATTGTGTCCACACCCCAGGATATTGCTTTGATCGACGCTGTCAAAGGAATTAATATGTTCAAGAAAGTCGACGTGCCGGTAAGCTTGAAATCGATCGCCAAAATATCTGCACTCTTGAATAATAAAGCGTTATCTGATTTGAATTGAGACTTATAGCTCCTTGGGATGGTTCAGAACATGAGTGTATTCACCTGCCCAAACTGCAGCCACTCAACACACATCTTTGGAACAGATGGAGTTGCGCGAGAATGCGTAAAACATGGAATCGAGCTTTTGGGCGATGTACCGCTCCATGCTTCCATCTGTCACGATGCTGATAAAGGAAAGCCTACGGTTGTCGCTGATCCAGACGGGATCTATGCGTCGGCGTTCTCATCGATCGCATCGAAAGTAAACAAGAAACTATTCTCGTAAATATCATCAGCTAGTGATGGGAAACACCGTTGGTAGCAGACGCATATTCTGTCAAGTTGATGCATTCATTGTGCTTTGATACAATCTATCAAAAGTCAACGTTTCTTCTTACCTCTTTTAGTTACAGTCCCTTTAATCGATTCTATTGAAACCCCTAAGCATCTCTTTTTATCCATTTTTTGACGCTGTGTTGGAAGTTTAGATTTCCTATGACGTTTTAAAATACCGGATTCACCAATCATTTCAACTCTCTATCCCCAATTTCACCGGCGGTTATTACCTCTGGGTGAGTGATAATTTCCAGGGCTCCTCGTTCTCGGTACAATAAATGGTATCATTTAAGTTTTGATTGGCTGCTAGCTCAAGCTACTATGAATAGGGATTTACAGAATTTCTCTTCAGGCGTAGAATGATTTAGCATGGAATTTCCGGAGGACATGATGAGAGTGAATACATATACAATTTCTAGTTACCACGAAGAAGACTTGGAGTCATATGTGCTCTATTAAATGTGCTATATGTACATGTCATGGTTAGCCCGTCAACAATTTGGCTGAGGAACTTTAATCGTGTGATTATTGGTGGTTAAGATTCATCTCAAGATAGAGTACCGGCACGCGGACCAAATCGGAGGTCTTGATCTCATAACGGAAAGGTGTTGGTATTATATGTATCTCCTCCACCATCCTGGATCTTTACTGTGGTCTATGTAACTTTACTTCAAGTTTGGAACTGACCATGGCTGCGCGAGATACTGCCGCATTGATAGGTATGTAGCATTGATACCCGCACCAGCCAAACCTCATAGCTCCACAACCATGCCGGATTGCCAATGTTTCGATAATTTCTAGAAAGTTAATTTTACAGTAAGAAAATTCTCTAAGGATCTCGTATAGGATAGTAAGAGATCTGGAGTCCCGAATTCTGTACATTTGGGGCTCAACGCGAGGTTTGGTTCTTGAGCTTGCCACGCATCAATCTAAATACGGAGACAACCGAACTCGTTGCTTGACTACTGGCTCTACTTGACCGTGTCTGTACTTACGTATTGACGAAGTGTAAATAAACAGCAAAGTACGTCCTACATAAGTTAACGTGGACGACTGAAATACGAATCAGAGGAAGCTTAACTACAGCTATGTACATACATGTGCCTTCACAGTATGCATATGTGTACTCTAGATACTCGGAAGGTATCTACTCTGAGCACCTACTCTATAGTACTCGCAACAGGGCTGAAGGACCCGACTTCTACTCCAATGGCAATTGCAATTAGGGCTTGCGTTTTCGGGTACTTGTTACCTGCTGCGGGTACATATATATACATAGAAGAACGCACGCTGAGCCGAGCAACCTTAGCTTCATAACCCCTCACTTCTCATTTCTCTCTCTATAGAGCTTTATGGATCCTTTCACGATAATAACCGGGGCTAGCGGGCTCCTCAGTACTTTGCAAGGCATCATCAACGAAGCAAAATCTTTCGTCGTGTCATGGAAGGATTGCCCCAATGAGCTTATAGAGTTGCGGGACGAGCTTCAAGCTCTCGAAACACTGTTGAAGGACATAAAACCAATCGCGGACCGTCTACGCATTAGAAATAGTCATGACCGAAGTACCTGAAGCCTCCTCTCAAGCTTGTCCTCTTAATACATAATTACTGACAATCTGCCTCGAAGATGCAACACAGCCTGCAGCAGTGGTGAATCTACTAAATCTCGCCGCCGAGATAAAAAAGCTTCTCGAGCCATACCAAGGCCCTGAAAATCTCAGTAAGATCTATAAAAAACCAGATAAAAAGCAACGGCTGGGATGGAAGAGCACGAAGGACGACATACAAAATTTGAGGGAACGGATCGCAGGTTGTTTGAATGAACTCCAGCTGGCAATGGCGGCAGATACCAGGTAGGGGAACTTACGATTGAATTTGGTAATTGAGGTTCCTGTTTTAATTGTATTAGTTCTGGCGTGATGGACGCAATCGAGAAACTTGATATTATCAAGGATGAGGGGAATGCAGAAATTGACAGTATTTACCCTTTAAAGTGCATAATGGTAGGATATTAGAATAACAGATAATTGATAGGAAAAAAGCGTGACGAAATCTTAGAGTGGCTATTCACTGGAGATCCTGGAAGGCGACATAACGAGGTCCGAGGACGACTGGAGGAGAACACAGGGTGTTGGATTTATGAGACGGAACAGTTCAAAGCTGGCGCGATCGTTAGTTCTCCGTTCTTTCTTTATACCGTATTTTTGCTAACGAATTGTAAATTTAGCTGGTGTTGGCAAAGCGTTCATAATGTAAGTCACACGAATTCCAGACATTTACCTGCCAATGCCAATTTATGGCTGCGGTGTATTTCTCTCTACATTTGTTGATAAGTTCCAGGTCGAATGTTGTCCATCATACATCAGAAGAATTTATGGGGGAAGATTTTGGCATTGCCTACATGTACCACAGCTTTGGAGATAAAGGAACTCAAGACCCAGCCAAAATATTTGCCAGTATCCTACGCCAACTCGGGGGACAGAAGAAAACAATTTCTCCGGAAATAGAATCTCTATACAAAAGGCTTTCCCCACCTTCGGAAAACCCAATATTTCGGAGCTGGTAAAAGCTCTCGTAGCAGTTATGCGAGGGTTTTCCCGCGTGTGGTTGTTCTTTGACGCTCTAGATGAATGTCCAGAGGACAACCTGCGCGTAGTGTTGTCAAACCTGGAGAAGCATTTTAAGATACCAGAGGTTCAGATATTTGACACTAGTAGGCCTTACCTCTCGGATGTCAAGGACACATTTGCGGATCAGACAATTATCGAAGTTTCGACGAGCACGAAAGATATTGAGATATTTGTGCAAAATCAGATGTCACATTTCCCGTTCGAGGACTCAGATGAGAGCCTCAAATCCGAAATTATAGATAAAGTTATTGAAGAGTCCAGGAGCATGTAAGTTGGCGGAGGTTCCTATCTTTTGTTGACAATGGCTGATTGCTTTAGGTTTTTGATAGCAAAATATCAGACCGATCACACCCTCAAGGGTTCCCTAAGAAGGTTGAGGAAAAATAAAACAAGTATATTCAACAGCATGCCCAGAACTGTTAATCAGTACTTTGAGACATCTTTGAAGAGGATAAATGAGAGTGCTGACTCCACCATGGCTTTGAACGCTTTGATGTGGATTTCAAACGCAACACGGCCCCTGCATATCGACGAATTAAGCGCAGCATTAGCTTTTAAGGAAGGAATTTCTGTTCAAGATGCATATGATGCAGAAGAGGTAGAAAATTCTTGCATCGGTCTAGTCATTGTTGACAGGAAGAATAATTTTTGCCGCTTGGCCCATCAGACAGTTCAAGAGTACCTGATAACCAAAACGGATTGGACGAAGAATGCGAACTTTCTCATTGCAGAAACGTCTTTGAAATATATCACCGGATTTAAAGTCGATTGTTTCCTGGACGAGAGTTCACTCAATATTCACCTTGAGAGGAACATACTATACGAATATGCCGCTAAGAACTGGGGAACCCACATGAAAGGTTGCGATGAAGAGCAAAACTTAACTCTCATCCCAATTCTTGATGCCTTTTTTAAAACAAACAAAAGAGCAATGGAACCAGCGATGCAAGTGCATGCTTGGGTCCCGGGGCGACTTAGCGAAGTTACTGAGAGCCACTTCGGGCCTTTGCATACGGCGGCTTTTTGGGGATTATCACTACCCAGACAATACTCCCAGGAAACAAATACCTAAATTCAAACGATTGGATGTACTGCCGAGCACCACTTTCCTATGCGGCGGAGAGAGGGCACGAAGCTGTGGTCAAACTCTTACTTGATACGGAGGGGATTGACGTAAACTTAAAGAGTATTTATGGACAGACGCCACTCTCCTATGCAACAGAGAAGGGAGAAGAAGCTGTTGTAAAGCTCTTACTTGCTACTGAGGGGGTTGATGTGGAAACGAAGGACATCGATGGCCGGACGCCATTGTCCTGGGCAGCATGTGTGGGGAACGAAGCTGTGGTCAAGCTCCTACTTGCTGTTGAGGGAGTTGATGTGGAAACGAGGAGTGACAATGGCCGGACGCCATTGTCCTGGGCAGCAACGTGGTGGCACGGAGCTGTGGTCAAGCTCCTGATTGAAGCACGGGCCGATGTGAACATTAAGAGTGATGATGGCCGGACACCTCTTCTATGGGCAGCAATAAAGGGAAGAAGGCGGACTGTGGAGCTACTGGTCGAATTAGATAAAGTGGACCTAAATATCGATACTACGTTATGGTCTAAAACATCATCCCCAGACCTAGAGATTATGCAAATCATCCAGGCCGCCAAAGAAAAACAGTGCTCATCATCTAAAGTTCCGACACCAGAACCTACATGTATCAGGAACGAATCCCTTACAGAGGCGACTGTGGCATCTCCCCCGACCCTTCCATCTCAGCAAAACCTTGCATCTCTCTCCACCTTATACCTTAGCAGTTTTGGAGGAAGAAACATCTTTCTGGCGTTCTGGGTTATTTCCTGTTTTTCCATTCTTTGCTATTTTCTTTTATAGAGTTTGCGCATTTGTCTAATATAGTATAAATCACTAGAGGTGTGCCAACTCGCGACCGCGAGTTGTACGTTGAATTATGGGTATCAAATAAAATTTAATTCTCCCTCTACAATCATGAGGGGCCTTCGGCCCCATCCTCCTCCTCTCGTGAGTGCTCAGTACTTTGATGTGTCGTGCTTACTAAATACCCCTGTCGCTGTCGACCAATCAGACTGCAAGCCCCTTCGAAAAATCGTTAATCCAGTACATAGTAGATGTTTGCATCATCTAGTACTCATACTCAAAACTATCAATTGATATTTCTGGTGCAATGTTTTTCAAACCTTTCGTATTTTTTATTACAATTATCCCAATTACTCAACTAACCTCAATGAATCTCTTCTTTTTTATTTGTTGCTATCGATCATTTGGCAAGATTTCTTATTAAGCCGTCGCACTGGGTACGGAGAAATAATGGAATAACAGGATGTTTCTTTTTAATAGCCATAAGATATGAATGCTTCAACAGGTGATCGATCCGCGACCCATGAAAAGGGTGAGTCCGTCGGAAGAGGTCTATATGCACCTAATGAATCTACCAATCAAATGCAGGAAGTAATGGCCGATCGAGTGATATTGGGTGACTAAACAAAATCAAGCACAATCCCCACCCATCCCCAACAAACGTTACACACCATAATTTAAGGACAAGAAGCTCCCGTGGGAAGGAATCTCTCTAAAGATGTTCAACCCAGACGATTGAGAAAAAGAAAAGAAGGGGGGGGGTCACTTGCATATGACTGCATGTCTCTTCAATCCGTATATCCCACCATTACCACCAACACTCTCGGCCCCATATCAATTACTCACCGCTAAACTGGTGTTACGTACACGCCTACAATGACCCTCTTCGGCGGCCGGTTCGGCCTTCAACGATGCGATTATAATTATAGCGCTCGCCGTTGATCCTCGGACCAGAAAGAGGGGGGCGGAGAAGTGGGTTGTACAGCATCAGCAATGGTCGGTATATCCAAGACAGGGAACTAAATTAACCCCACTCTTCCAGATTCACCGTGCCTACACCGTTCGAGCGCCACTCCAGACTCGAACACTCCCTGGCATCTGAGTCGACTGTGGCAGGCTATTGCGGAGCGCCCCCAGTACGTGGCAGCATGTTTGCATTGAAGAAAGAGTGCACAGAGAACAGCAATACCAGAAGATGCAGTACCAGAAGTAAATTCGACAGCCCGTGTCGTGTGCTATTTTGTAAAACCGAAGACCCAGAAAGTAACAGAGAGAAGCCTAGCTATGAAAACACAATAGGTAGGCGAGTACATGTATGTAACTATGTAGTGAAATGCCGTCCCCAAATACAGTACTCCCCAATGTCCCAACCAACCCAGCCAACCCAGCCAAAAGAAATAAGATGTATGTACCGAGAGAAGAAAACAGCAAAAGAAAAACAAGAGAAAGACCCATCCAAAACGAAAAACACCAGACCCGATATCCCCATCCTAGTTTTTGTAAATACACCCCCGCTCAACCTAGCCCAGTAACCCAGCCCCATCCCTAAAGAAAAAAAGAAGAAAAAAATACAGAGAAAAAATGTATTTAAAAGAATGATAGTTAGCCCTAACGCGAGTATGTATTTACAATTTCCCAGCGAGTAAAATGCTATTAAAAGGGATGCTGATATTCCCACATCGTAGATGTAGGCGAGATAAAACTAAGGGTGGTCAAGTCAGTAAGGGGTAAAATAAAATATTTATCAGATGAGGCTGAGCGTGCTTACCTCTGAATATAGCATGAAGACTTTTGAACTCCAAACTCCGAACCCCAAGTCGATCGCGGTGCGCGCGCTAGTGCATCGTCACCTCAAAGAAATCCACCCGCCTTTTCGACATGATGTTGATTCTTTGATTTCTGTCCAAAAAAAAAAAATTAGTATAATCCCGTAAACGCACACACGAAATGACGAGTACTTACAAAAGTCGACAGTCAACTTCCTTAGCGCCTCCTGCCTCTTCAAAGGCAGCTCATGCTCACTCAGCCTCCTCTTTCCGCTGAAGACCTTCCTCCAAACATCCTTGACCCTGCCGCCCCAGGAGAACCCCTTGTTGCGAGAAACAATGACATCGGCCTCCCGCACTGCCTCAATCTCCTCATCAACAACCCAGACCCATTGCCTCGGTTGCTGCTGTTGTTTCTGCTGCTGTTGCTGCAACTTGCGCTGCGCAGCTTGACGGATGCGTTTGGCTTCGAGTTGGTCGCGACGGTAGCGGGCGGCTTCAACGCGTCGCATTTCCTCTTGCCAGGGAACGACGTATTCCTCCTCTTGATGCGCGAGTTCACATTGGTGCTCTTGCTCGCGTTCCTCTTCTTCTTCTTCCTCCTCCTCCTCGTGGTGGTGGTGGTGGTGATGGTGGTGGTTGGGGAGGTACGGGATCGGCTCGGGGTGAGCGCTAGGAAAGTGAGAGTCCCCGTGCGTATAGGAGGACGAGGCGGAGGAAGAGTTAGAAGTAGATGATGAGAACTTCATTTTGTTATCTTTATTGTTTGTGGTAATGTTGGTTGTAGTGGTAGTGGTGGTGGTTGCTGTTGTAGCAGTGGTGAGAGCAGGAGTGGTAGGAGGAGTAACGTCGGAATCAGTAGCGGAGCAGGCAGCACTGTCGCAAACGGGGCGGCCACCGGCACCTTTAAACGGCGGCGGAATTTCGAGATGACAGGGGGTCGGCAAAAAAGCCAACGGAGCTTCAAGGATTGGACGGTGCGGATAATGTTGTGTTGGTTGTCTAATTACCAACGGTTTTCCCTGCTGATTGGATGACGAGCTGATGTCGACAGGGGAGGAGGCAACCACTACTGCAGGTGCAACCATGATGAATTTGATAGGTATGATGTGACTGGTTTTTTTGAAGGTTTCAAGGGGTGTGATTATGTGGAGAGTTTCAAAGAGGACTTGTCGGACCGTGTGTGGGAAAAAGAAAGGAAGAAGGATGGATGGATGTTGATGGATGATAGATAGCGAAGGAGGAGGAGGAGGAGGAGCACATTGAATGGGTTGCAAGGTAGAGTGGGGTAGGTTATGCTCGAGATTAGAGATTCCCTCGTAGAGTTGAGTGCGGCCGCGGTAGGGGGAACTCTCTCTCACATTCCCTCTCAGCTGGGAAGCGTGCCCACACACACCCACCCGCACACCACGCCCGCCACACACACACCACACAACACCACAAATCCATACAACAGCAGCACCGCACACCGCACACCCACAATCTCGCAACAGGTGAGTACGTACCGTACCGTACCATACACATGCCTTCAACGTCTGTGCATGATCCTGGCAAATCTAACCGGCCCGCCGTTTCGACATCTCCATTTGTTACCTTCTATCCACCTTCAGCCGATCCTCTGAATTGTGTTGCTCCGGAAGAAAAGAAACAAAGACGAAGCAAAAATCATTGGTCCTTCTGGCCCTTCTTTCATGCCGCCGGTCGGATTGGGGCACAAATTCCTCATAGGCGGGCGCTCGGTAAAATTCGCTAGTCAGGCACACATTCTGCATACTACACCAATATGAGCTAGGACTTGCTTGAATGGTCAACGATTATTATTAGAGTCTTCTATTGGCTGCACCAAGCCAAATTCGAAGATTAGTACATACATGGGGTAGAGATTTACTCTAGGTAGGATAAGGTGGAGTACCTATGTACCTACTCGATCTATGTACCTACTCTATGTACTTACTCTATGTACTCTACCTACTCTATGTACCTACTCTAGAGTAGGTACTCTGTCTGCTACATCATGTAGGTAGTCGTATTTTACTCTACTCTACTCTACGTATGTACCTACTCTAGAGCACTCTATGTACTTTGCTGCCTACATGCACGCTCAGTCCTCTGACCAGAATATGTAGGTAACTGTGCTAAGGGGCTGCCGATAAGCACACCCAAAACACGCAATGAAAATCTCCGGACAGACAGACGTCAATTCGCTTAGCCCTAAAGCGACCCAACACGAACAGTACACAAGCACGAGCCTCGATGAATCAATACGAGCATTCATGTGTGTAATCAATTCCCCTTATAGAATGTTGAAAAGCAAAACCAGAGGATCAATGCCATCCAACACCGAAAAATTGAGCTCTGGCCGCTGTTGCGGGAGGGCTCCGAATCCTGAGACTGCGGGATAAACTCGGTTACTGAAATGACAACCACACTAGGCCAATTCAGGACGTTTCGACTTCCAGGAACAAAGATATGCTTTTTTAAAAAAATGTTGGATGGCTACCACCGCAGTGACACAGCACCTGAAAAGACAGGACGGATCTTCTCATTCCCACCAACCCTCATGTAGTACACGCTACAGGAGAACCTATGGGCCACAACTCGACGAACAAGTTGACCTACAGAATGTGTAGATGAATCGGTGCTATCAGACAAGCCTGAACCGGACACGAGTCCTCAAATCGCACAGCACGAAGTCAAGCGATGTCAGAGAAGAGGTAAACAAGGTTATAAATCCCGTATCGACACGTACGCATCCTAGGTATGGTCCGGCCTACGAGGGTGACCGTCCTCTCAATGTAATGGTTCTCCGTCTTTTTGAATTATTGGGTGCTAGTCCCTTCTGTGCTACATGTCGTTCTTTCTGTGCACCTACCTACATGCACATATACAGGTACCTATTGCTACCCCGCCATAAGAACATGGCACTCTGCCATAGACAGGTTCGACTACGCTGGGCAGTGGGCACGTTGCCGCCGTGCTAGGTACACGAATCAAGTGAATATCAAGAATTTTTTTTCAGTTGGTATGCATGAACCGGTGAAAGCTTACTCCAACCAAGGATCCCGATGAAACGTCCTAAATCAAGCATATTCAAAAAGAATCCCGTGCACTATATGAAGGATGAACTCCAACCCCACACTGTTATACACGGGAACGTAAACGGGAGTGGGCGGGCCGCGTGGAGGTAGGTTGCAGAGTGTTGCGTGATGTCACAGAATCTAGGTGAAGAACAGTGGGAACGGAACTTAAACGGATCAAGTGATACATCGGTAGCACGCATATTTTCAAGAGAGGTGGCCGGTCTGGATAATGACAGCACTGTTTACCCCTCTTGATATCTCATCTCTTTCGTTGTTTCTTACATCTGTCTTCTTCACCTCTCTTCTTACGTTATTAATCGAATCAACCTCATCGACTTCACTTTCACGTCAATGGGTTTCAACGGGCGGTGGTTCAGGAATAAGTAGCCTGGAACGCATGTGGGTGAGAACGGGGGCCCATGTATCATCATGGGCCAATTCATACTATTCATATGGGCCCAGGCTGAAGGGGGGGTGTTTACAAATGTTTGAGCCACGCCGAATTATATGCCATCTATAGAATCCCGTGCGATATTCGCATAAGGTTAGCAACAAAAAGCACCCCCCTTTCTATTGTGACTAACAAAAACGAGCAGCTTTGTGGTATCTTTCAAAAGCCATTGCTTTTTGATTGGATAAGGCAAAGGGTCGAGGTGCCTGATATCCAACTACTTGATTAGATGAAATCTACGTTTCGTTTTTACTTGGAAGTGTTGATATAATACGTGCTTCGAGGCCATCCACCAGCTGGCTTCTCTTCGAGATACTCCTAGGCCGCAGAGAGGTGTTCGTTTTTAAAGCAATAAACCCATGCTCAAGTTCTTGTACTTTCAGATAGCGGATGGTCGTATTGTTGATTCGTTGTGCATGGGGCTGATCTAGATGGTGTGTTTTATTTTCCCTCGAGACACAAGCATGACCCACAAAGCCTTGAAACTGGACATTAAAAAGCTGGAAAAGCCCAGGCGGTATCATGAACTACACCAATCCGACTTCTACCACGTAAGCAAAATTTAATCACAGGCTATCACTCGAGTATGCAGAACGATCCAAAAAACTCATAATCTGTTTAAGCCAGATCTAGACCCAGAAATTGTTTTTAGGCATGACAGGCGAATATTTACCGCATACCGGGACGAGGAAATCTCGATCTCGGCCCCTGTCCGTTGAATTCTGCTAGCTGCTACATGCGGAATCAAGCCTACCATCCTTCTATGAGTGGATCTCTTAAGCTTGAATCCTTAAACTATTGATGGCTAATTCAACCCCGTTATAACCATCACAATGGCGGAAATCGATACCTTCCAAATTACTGTCCAGTGTTGCCAGAGAAGTACTTTGCTGACATCATAACACAATGATGGAATCGGGTGTTTTAGAAACTCGGGAGACATTACCTGAAATACTTACGAGAGTTGTACATGCTTTTATTTTCAGCAAGAGTAATTAGTTCAATCTATGTGTGGAGCAACTTTTATTGCTGTTAGTTGTAACATTCCGCATGATCGATTTGATTATCACGCGGGTGAATGTGTATGAAAATAGGAAATCAAAGAGGTAAAAATCCGCTCATCTTTTTCTGTGAACAGAGGGATCTATTTTCTGAATAAAACTAATAGATAACTTATCGGTTATAGTAGGCAACTTGTGGACCAATGGTATTTGGTGGTGGCTGGTACAGGACATACAGCAAAACCTGACATAGTTCCACCCCATCAAAAACAGAGCTATAGGATGAAAAAAGTGAAAAAACAATTCCAATCTCCTGGATTCTATATATTCTAGCGTTTCCCGGGTCCCGCGACAAGTGAAATTTTGATAAGTTTTGCCGCATATATATAAATTATGTACAGAAGGCTATAGACTAACAAAAATATTTAGCCTTCAACTGCTCTTTCCTTAATCTTGACCATCATTCTCTGCATCTCTACCACCATCGCAAACCTCTCCTTGGGCGCCTCTACCTCCTCCAGCTCCCACCTCGCCACAATAGTTGCCACCAATTTCACCATCAAGAACATTGCCAGATGCCTTCCAATGCAAACCCTCCCACCAGCTCCAAATGATAACCACCCGGCCTCCATCTTATTGGCTCTCTTCCTTCCATGCTCATCAACACCTAACCATCGCTCAGGTTTAAACTCCGCTGCGTCGGCTCCAAAATAACCCTGATCGAAGTTGACTGCCCATGCCGACATACCGACGGTATATCCCGGTGGAACGAAAAATTGGTTCAGCTGGCAGCCCGCTGGAGGTGAGGTACGGGAAAGAGAAAAACCAACAGCTGGACAGATACGAGTAGCTTCGTTTATGACGGCTTCAAGATAGGGGATCTTGTTGGAACCGCCAAGGTGGATGAAGTCTGCGAATGTGACCGCCTTAGGGAGAGCTGCGAGCTCGGCACGAACAGTTGAGAGCGCGGTGGGGTTTTGCAGGAGATGGTGGATGGCTGTAATGCTTGGGTGAGGTGTGACCCCGACGGCGCCAGCCATGAGGTTGAAGTACTGGACTGTGGTACCTTGTACGGTGTCGCCTAGGGGGTAATGGTCTCGCATGGATGCTTGAGCGGAGTGGAACTTCGCCAAAAGATGGTCCGGATTTTCAGTTCTGACCTCGTCAATACGTTCCTATACAGACACAAAGTCAACTGTCAGTTATCACATCTCCACATTACTCAATAAAGCTGATGTATACACACCTCCAATGGCACCTTCCACTTCTTCTCTCCAATTCCCATGCCCGTATAAAACAGCTGGTCTAACCAGGAGACTAATAGCATTCTGCGTATCCATCTAGTAGTTATCATCAGAGCTTGAGGAGTCGGCAAAAGCCAACCCACAACGCTGAGGATAAGCTTAATCCCATAAAGGGTTCCAAAGTGGTCCTCTCCGGCCAGACAGAATCCGTTGGAGTTATTACAAGCAATTTGCGCAGTTACATCCCAGATATAGTACTCTACCCACTGTGTCAAGTTGCACACTTTACCAGGCTGGATAACATGCTTCTCAACGCCTTGTACGAACTCGTCGATGGCTTGGTCAAAATTCTTCTCTAAACCGCTCAATGCAGTTTCCGAGTAGACATGCGACATCAACCTCTTTCCTAACCTCGCTTTCTCCGGGTCCCGCTCAAACAGGAAGCTGAAATCCTCATTGACACTTCCTGTCTCATATAATGGTGCCTTCTTGAAGAAAGTCTCTTCGCGCTTGTCGTTGGCGAAACCATAAATGACATTCCTGAGGTATGGATCCGAGCATGACACCTCGTCGGGGGCAATCCACACTACAGGACCGTACTTGAGATGGAGTTCCATTATGTCCCGGTGCCATGTTCCGGTAATGGTACGATAGGACCTGTAGAGGTTGGTGAAGGACGCAAGGAATGGTCCGGGGATGCGCTGGGCGCGGAAAGGGGAATTTATAAATTGGTAGGTTTGCTTGAGCAAAAGGTAGACGATGAGAGCGAGGGAGAGAAGGAGTTTGTTTTGCCAGAAGATGGCGAGAATGGTGGAGAGGTTCTCTAGCAGCATGGCTTTGGATTAGCGATATCAATCGCAGAGAATGGTGAGTTGTTTCTTTAGTATATTTATTGACTTCTTGGTTAAAAATGTGGATGAGGGTGGGAATAATTGGGGCTTTAAAGAAAGGATTCTGACCTTACTCAGACATTCGGTCTATATGTACTGCCAGTCTAAGGGGCAGTTTGGTATTGGAATCCTGATACGTGCAAAAGTTAGGATTCCTGTAATGAGACCAATTACATTAGCTAAAAGATGTGTATAATGACTCCCCCTCCCTAAAGCCCTTTTTTTTTTATTTCCATCCACCCCCTAAAGAAAGTAATAAAAAGCCTTGACAGTGGTGCTTAGCTATCATGCGTCCTTTGGACCAATTGGGTTCAATCACTAATCTAGTAATTTCTACCCATGGCTTTCTTGCCTCCACAGAAAAAACAATTAAGAATACCAACTGGCTCTACAAGCCTCATCTAGCGATATCCGCCACCTTGCAGCTGTCAGATCCCTTCTCGTGTAGTACTACCTAGAATTATAAAGTAGGTAGGTGCTCTACATACCAGTTAGCCTTGAAGCAAGGCACGGGCTTGAGACCTCTCAACTGTCTAGTTATTTTCTAAAAGAATAGTAATATGGTGGGGAAGCCTTGTCAGGGAGTAGTTTCGACACCTCAACTTTGACCGCTTATAGCCTATCAACCACCAGACATATTTTTAATTTTATGAGATAGATCTACTCAGTTTTACCTGATCTATCATTCTATCTACTCGGATTTTTAAAATTATTCTTCGTTGTTGAATTATAAAAATATTTTGACAGGGACAATGTCGCTTGTATGGTCAAAAGAAGTACTTTTCCTAGTCCTAGATAACTCTTGGCACGTAATTTCTAGATGTTAGTAAGACACCATACCTGGCCGCTGGACGTTATAACATATACCGTACTCAGGTGTGCAACAACAAAGTTTGCTTTTTTCTTACACGCGCCTTGCTGCACACCCTGACGATGCTTGAGCCCAGGCCTTTCAAATACCCGAGCCGATGCCCTAAGAGTAAGTACGGCAGTTGTCAAAGCATTCGTCGATTTTTGGAGTTGTGAGGTTGTCAATAAAACGTTATTTTAGGCAACGGGTTAAGCTTTTGAATTAATACCCAAACGGTTTAGCGCGGCTAAAACAAGCATTAGTAGGGCTCACTAGCAGCTGGTTATGGGTCGACTAGTACTCCTACGGGTAACTACATGTACTCGTATTTCTCTGACGTTTGTGGACGCGACTGATATTGCATGCCATACAAAAATACGCCAAGCTCATGATTTTGGGTGTATGCAATAATGGCCCAGTTCAAAAACGTCAGCGAAATACTAGTATTAGTTAATACAACAGCTTACTGTTTTACTATTAACCCCAGATACCACTCACTCAAAATAAAATTTTGACTTTGCGTGTCTCAGTTTTTCCGCAGTGAGTAAAATACAAAACAATCAGGGCCTGTTCGGTTGGACGAGGTACGCAAAACCAAAAGACAAACAGTTCATCCTTAATCATTAAAAGCCTTGCCTTCTAAGGGTTATAGATCGTCCGAAGTTGGCGTACCGGTATTTTAAAACGTGTCGCATCCGCTCTTGCAGTAGGATAAACAACATTCCTGTTTTTTAACCAATATATATCCCGTCGATCATGACTACAGCCTTAGCAGATTGGACTGATCCCACGTTTTATCTATTATATGCCACGTTTAAAGCGACTTTTAGTCTGAAATCATGAACGATTGAGTAAAAGCCTTATCTTCTAAGGGTTACAGATTGTTCGACCTTTTTGATGTACATATGCATATGGATCGATATTCTAATATCATCTCAGGGTTCATCATCTTCGATCATGCCATGTTTAAAGCGCCTCTTTGTTGTGTGAACGATTGAGATGATGATGATGTTTGAATTCGTCACAGTATCGATCTTTATCCGCTTATAACCGTCTTTTGGGAGGTCTATCCATTCACAGGGCCTTGGTTGAGATCGCCCATTCAGCAATATAAGGCCCGACGGGGCTTTAACACGATCTCAATGATGAATTCATACAGTCTCCTTCCTTATAATTAGGGCAATTGCTCCGGACCCACTATAATCTGCATGTCAGCGTCTATTATATTAGGCCCTTTGCGCAAAGGACTCCAGCTCCAAATTCCAGTAATCTGATTGGCGCCGATCCTCCTATCAACCTGAGAGCCAGCTCTGTCTGCGCAAAGGGCCTAATCCTTCTCCACAAACTCAAACCTGAACCGTTTCAAGATCCGATTCTCACGGCCCCGGTACAGTCGTTCACGGGGTGAGGACGAACACTGGGTGTAGACGAACAGATCGCTTTGGCAGCTTGCCACATTGAGAAGTTAACCCTTATTCGTCTTCACCCAGTGTTCGTCCTCACCCCGTGGCGACGGCTACTATTAACGCAGATGTGCAGAATTTCCTGAGAGTAATTAATTGGACACGCATACCTCATGCAATATGTGGTACGGACATATCGGATGCATCTCTGCCACTCTGAAGCCTGAGCATGAGGCTCGGCGCGCTTCGAGTAGAAAGCGGGAGTGGAAGAATGAGATAGAAGGTAAAGGGTCGTTAGATTTATGTGTAGATCGTAAATGCGTGTAAGATT